TAAAAGTGTCTACCGTGATTTGAACATTCAAAGCAACTGGGAAACGTCCATGGCAGGCATTGTTGTCACCTTAGCTTGCTACATAACTTCTGAATGATAGGAAGCACAAGCACCACCACCAATCAGCCTACACCACTGCACACACACGTCGTTACTATGACAACTAGCGTAGCCTTGTCAGCAAATGACTGCTGTCTGAACACACACACATCCGATTTGGTCACTTGTAACTTGCTGTTTGGACAGTAAGTAGTTCAAAAAGGTTTTGAAAAACAAAACTGATTTAAGCATTAAAGGCCTGCAGTGTGAACAAGGCTTAAGGGGGGTTAGGTAACTTCACATGGTTACTAGCCTAGCGACCTCTTTAACTCTGCACACTAGAGTCTAAGGGGCCTGGGGTTGGGTATTTTTCTTGAGAAATGTCTCAGCAAACACGGTATAACATATGAAGGCAATGTATTTAACTGTGTGAATGTTCTGTTGTAATTTCAGTATGATACCGCTATTAAAGATGTTAAATAAGATTTAAGTAGGCCTAGGCGCTAAAGCAGCCCATGTGCTACAACACTGGTGTAAAAACAGAATTATTTAAAGTTGTGGTTACTGTTACCGTTCTCAGTATCATTGACAGTAAATGGTGCCATCAGCCTCACTTGTTCTCACAAGATGCTCACAACACAAATAAACCTGAGGGTTGAAGTTTCCCAGGGGATTTTGACAGGTGTTTTTTTTTTCTTCCTTTTTTTTGTCTACACACTCATGTTCCCCTTTTACGTATTCTAAGCCTAAATAGCTGCACCAGACAGTTCTCATAACTCTCTCTCTCGCTCTATATCCTCTCTGGCAATACCTCTTGTTTTCTACCCTCTTCCTCTTTTCAGTTGGCTTCTCAGAATTCGGTACACTTTGATCAGGACACACCCTAGTGTGAGAAAAGAGGGACCTCTGTCTGTTTCAACCAACTCTCAGCAGATCCTAAAATGTCACGCTCTCACGAAAGCCACATGCAATAGTGATTTTTGTCCACTGTGGGAAGCTCTGGTCCTATTCATTCTGAAATCTTCTTATCAAGAATATTCTTGATGTTATTTTCATGTTCACGTGATCAAATGCCTTTGGTATTCCTCACTGGACCATTTGGAGAAAGACAGAGATTTGTACTACCAAAGGACGCATGGCAAAATCTGACCGCGTTTTAGGATCGGTTTGATCAGTAGGCGGTGTCAAATGTTTTCACATGGAAAGCTTGGAATGGTAACCTACTATGCTGTGGTATCATACATAATGTGGTATCTCCTGCATAATGGACTCTCTCTCTCTCTCTCTCTCTATCTCTCTATCTAGGACGATGACATCATCAAGGAGATCAATATCACCCACGTGGTCAAGGAGGGCTCGGAGAAAGCCGATGCCCGCCAGTTTGAGCTGCTTAAAGTGCTGGGCCAGGGCTCCTTTGGCAAGGTAAGAGATTGTCTAAGGTAGCGCATTTCCCATGTTCCAATAATCCTCTGCCTGTGGTGGATTGGTTTAAACAGTGGAATAGAAATCTTGCTTTGACTTGTCCACTCTGGGAAAGATCAGTGATGACCAGTCATCAACCATAAATCAACTCACTGATTAGAACAGGGATGGGTAACTCCAGTCCTCGGGGGGCATGATTGGTGTCACACTTTTGCCCCTGCCCCAGCTAACACCTGACTCCAATAATCAACTAAGCGTGATCTTCAGTTTAGAATGTAATTAGTTTAATCAGCTGTGTTTGCTAGGTATGGGGATAAAGTGTGACACCACTCCGGCCCCCGAAGACTAGAGTTGCCCATCCCTGGATTAGAACAAAATGGGACTAACAACACTGTGGTGGATGATGGTTAGAACAAAATACATAATTCACACACTGCTGTTTTACTACACTTCTGACCTTGTTAGGGAAGCGAATCATGTTTGACTTTGTGACAGTTACTAATGACTGACTGCTAAGCTTATCTCTTCAGTAGAAATACTTAACACTCTAAACCATGCAGAAAGCTGGTGTTATAGCACAGTGGGTTTCAGACATCTTCTCCAGCCGTTCCACGCATTTGAACTATTCCACAGATTAGTCTGATTCGACTAATCATCAAGCCCTTGACTAGGTGAACCAGGTGAGCGTGTTCAGGGCTGCTTCACAATTGTGAAAAGTCTGGGGGTCCCAGAGGAGAGGTTTGAAAACCCCTTGCTTTAGCAGCGTTCAATCACTCAAGCGTAGCTTATGGCTGTGATTGTGCACATAACAAGAAAGCCTCCATAATAGGAAGGCAAAACCCTGCAGATGAAAGCGTCAAAATTCCGTATGGCTTGAGAATGAATTTTTCAGACAAGGACTGATGCTGATGTTAATATGTCATACCTGGATTTTACACACACACACACACACACACACACACACACACACACACACACACACTGCCAGGCTTTCACCTCACTGTTTCTCCCACCCCTCTGCTTGCTCTGCTAATGTGCAAACATGAGGTGGTCTAGATTAGGGTTATTTAGAGAGCACTTAAAACACATTATAGACAAATACATTCCATGTTCATGTGTAATTAGTCCAATTACAACAAGTACGCGTACAGTGAGGGGGAAAAAAGTATTTGATCCCCTGCTGATTTTGTACGTTTGCCCACTGACAAAGACATGATCAGTCTATAATTTTAATGGTAGGTTTATTTGAACAGTGAGAGACAGAATAACAACAAAAAAATCCAGAAAATCGCATGTAAATTTTTTTATAGATTGATTTGCATTTTAATGAGGGAAATAAGTATTTGACGCCTCTGCAAAACATGACTTAGTACTTGGTGGCAAAACCCTTGTTGGCAATCACAGAGGTCAGACGTTTCTTGTAGTTGGCCACCAGGTTTGCACACAGGAAACCCATTGGGAGCCATGGTGAAGACTTGCTACACAAGCGTTGAGGTGTCTGCAATTTGAAGAGAACTCTTCTTGACCTTTGACATTGCGGAGGAGCAGTTAAGTAAACACTGTTTTTAAATGCTAATCGCTTTTGGCTAATTAATGTCTCGCACATCTCCTTCTATTGTCGAGTGTTTTCGTAAAGGCAGCGATCGTGTACACAGAATGATACTGTCTCCTGTGACACTTGATTCAGATGGAATGAGGCGATTAGAATGCATGTCCATGATATAAAATGATTGATATCATGAAATTAGTCATGATATCATGATTATTTCCCTGTGTGTATCTCTCTTTCAACAGCAATCCCTTGTTAATCCTAGCGATTTGTTTTTAAATGGTGTTTTACTTGTTTCAATAATTGGTTAAATTTCTGCGCAAGCATACGATAAAGTATAATTTTCATCATTGGTCACAGGAAGTCATCCTAGAGCAGTGGGACAGTCTGATGCTACTCCACCCCCACTGCAGAGGGAAGCCTTGTGTCGTGACATGAGAAAGCACCACCGCTGCTGCTGCGTCACTGAAAGACCATTGGTTCCTCCTGCAGCTGCTGAAAGATCATTGGTCCTCCTGGCAATTAATGCCATCAGGATCATGTGATCAAACTAACTCGGCGTTCTCACCATCCGATCTTGCATGGAGCCCCAGGCCGAGGGAGATTGACAGTTCTTTTGTGTTTCTTCCATTTGCGAATAATCACACCAACTGTTGTCACCTTCTCACCAAGCTGCTTGGCGATGGTCTTGTAGCCCATTCCAGCCTTGTGTAGGTCTACAATATTGTCCCTGACATCCTTGGAGAGCTCTTTGGTCTTGGCCATGGTGGAGAGTTTGGAATCTGATTGATTGATTGCTTCTGTGGACAGGTGTCTTTTATACAGGTAACAAGCTGAGATTAGGAGCACTCCCTTTAAGAGTGTGCTCCTAATCTCAGCTCGTTACCTGTATAAAAGACACCTGGGAGCCAGAAATCTTTCTGATTGAGAGGGGGTCAAATACTTATTTCCCTCATTAAAATGCAAATCATGTGTTTTTCTGGATTTTTTGTTGTTATTCCGTCTCTCACTGTTCAAATAAACCTACCATTAAAATTATAGACTGATCATTTCTTTGTCAGTGGGCAAACGTACAAAACCAGCAGGGGATCAAATACTTTTTTCCCTCACTGTATACACAAACCCACTTCATGTTCATTCGTATTCATTCCATTTAATTTGCATCTCCCTCACACTTCAGACGACAAGTGTTTTTTCCTCCGGTTGAGCTTATTGCTCTGGGTGTCAGGCCAGGCTGTTTCGCAGTATGAAATGACTTTCATTAGTTTGACTAACTTGGCCTACTACATAATGGAAGTTTCATGGTGTTTAGGGGAGGTTTTGGTTAAAAAATACAGTATTTATGGTCTTATGCAGGCCAGGAAGAATTCCAGAGAACATCACATGTAGTTATACCGATGACCATTCCCCTTGTCGGTCCCATAGGTTTCTAGCTTACTGCATTGGATTGAGCACAGAAATTGAAATATTATTGGTATATTCAATATTGCCGCCAGTCCCGCCATCACAGAGCATTGACTTGGATGGGAATGTCCGTTTGTCCGTTCTAGTACTTCTATTTCTGAGATTGAGAGTTGGATGTTGCCTGCAGGTGTTCTTGGTGCGGAAGGTGACGCCGCCCGACGACAACGAGCTGTACGCCATGAAGGTCCTGAGAAAAGCCACCCTCAAAGGTACGTACACACACACACACACACACACACACACACACACACACACACACACACACACACACACACACACACACACACACACACACACACACAAAGAGGAATAGGGGTTGTAAACATGTTGTGGAGTCATGGGGTTGTAAACATGTTGTGGAGTCATGGGGTTGTAAACATGTTGTAATCCGTCCAACAGAGCCCACGGGTTTCATAACCACATCTTCATAGGGAGGCTTGGTCTCACCTCTTTCATTTGTTGACATGTTTTTGTGTTCGCTCGATACTCCACCTGTCATTTTGCTTTACAATTTTGCTCCCAGTGTTTTGATCTTGTCTCAAGGCTTTGACAGTGAGAAGAAATTAGTGTTTTTTTCAGTTAGTGGGTATCTCCTGTATGTGTAGTTGGAGAGGACCACCACACCGCCAGCTAGCAGTCTGTCAGTCGGTTCCCACCCTGTCAACAGGTGCTGTGGGATCTTGCCTACCCTAGATGTGAACACCCTGACAGTTTAATTATCAATGGGAACAGATTGTCTCACAGAATAGAACTCACAGCCATTGTGTGCTGAAAATGTGTCTAAGTCAACATAGGTTTACTTGGCACTCGACAAGAATGTCCGTTCACATTTTCATTCTTTTCATGTTTAAAAAAAAAATGATTTGTATTATCAAAATATTTCAAGGATTGATTATTTGGCATTTTGCTTTTGACTGAATTCTCAAATACTGTATCCCTTGAGTGAGATTGAAATATTATTAGTGACACTGACAGTTTGGCATTTGTTTAAGTTATGTCTTAGCCATGGTAGGATTGTTTTGCGCTAACCTTCTGACGGCTCTGAAATGGTCCGATCCTTTCCCCACCCCCACAGTGAGAGACCGGGTGAGGACCAAGATGGAGAGAGACATCCTGGCAGACGTCAACCACCCCTTTGTGGTCAAACTCCACTATGGTAAGTTCACAACCAGACCTTTGTTCAAATAGTATGGTAAAGGACCACAGGGCTGGTGGTGACAACGCCATGTCACTTTTGTAGCGATAACCTTTCCTCTGGTCATCATGGGCAGTGCCCTCCATGTTTATATGATGAATGGGAAAAGCTTTGAGTCTCTAGCTTTGCCAGACATTTTTATGCAAATGTTTTAGCACTGGATATACACTTGTGCAAGCCCATTAAGTGTGTGTGTGTGTGTGTGTGTGTGTGTGTGTGTGTCTCCAGCATTTCAGACAGAGGGAAAGCTCTACCTGATCCTGGACTTTCTGAGAGGAGGAGATCTCTTCACCAGACTGTCTAAAGAGGTGTGTTCTTAATGTTTTCTGAGAGGAGGAGATGTCTTCACCAGACTGTCTAAAGAGGTGGACCTCAAGGACCTATATTCCAGGAAAATGTATCTTTGTGACATCTTATGTGTCACGGTAATTATAACCTCTATGCATTACACTCAAATGTGTTTTGTTGTCAGTAATATCGTGTGTGTGTGTGTGTGTGTGTGTGTGGTATCCAGGTGATGTTCACAGAGGAGGATGTGAAGTTCTACCTAGCAGAGTTGTCACTGGGCCTGGACCACCTGCATAGCCTGGGCATCATCTACAGAGACCTCAAACCTGAGAAGTAGGTGGAGCCTCAGCGGAGGGCGGCTAGTCCTAGCTAGCCTAGCGTAGCATCGCAAATCGTAGCATTACGTTCGTACAATAATAATATATGCCATTTAGCAGACACTTTTATCCAAAGCAACTTAGTCATGTGTGCATATATTTTACATATATCAGTGGCCCCAGTGGGAATCAAATCCAGATGCCGAGTGCTTCTCTGTTCGCTATCTCTTCTACATGTATATCCATTATTCAAGGCCCCTAATCCTAATTTTAGAAAACGGCAAATTTCACTGCAGTGTAATTGATTGTTGATACCATCAAAACTGAGAGGACAATCATGTCTGGTCTTGAGTACTGGGATCTTAACGTGACATATGGATACTAGAGAATGAGAAAGCCTTGCCTGAGTGCACAGACAGATTACACTAACTTTGTATTCCTTCCCGTACGTGTGTGGCATATACAATTCTGATACTGTGAATTAACTGAGGGATATGTGTGTGTGTGTGTATGTATATGTATCTACAGTGGGGAGAACAAGTATTTGATACACTGCCGATTTTTGCAGGTTTTCCTACTTACAAAGCATGTAGAGGTCTGTCATTTTTATCATAGGTACACTTCAACTGTGAGAGACGGAATCTAAAACAAAAATACAGAAAATCACATTGTATGATTTTAAAGTAATTAATTTGCATTTTATTGCATGACATAAGTATTTGATCACCTACCAACCAGTAAGAATTCCGGCTCTCACAGACCTGTTAGTTTTTCTTTAAGAAGCCCTCCTGTTCTCCACTCATTACCTGTATTAACTGCACCTGTTTGAACTCGTTACCTGTATAAAAGACACCCGACCACACACTCAATCAAACAGACTCCAACCTCTCCACAATGGCCAAGACCAGAGAGCTGTGTAAGGACATCAGGGATAAAATTGTAGACCTGCACAAGGCTGGGATGGGCTACAGGACAAAAGGCAAGCAGCTTGGTGAGAAGGCAACAACTGTTGGCGCAATTATTAGAAAATGGAAGAAGTTCAAGTTGACGGTCAATCACCCTCAGTCTGGGGCTCCATGCAAGATCTCACCTCGTGGGGCATCAATGATCATGAGGAAGGTGAGGGATCAGCCCAGAACTACACGGCAGGACCTGGTCAATGACCTGAAGAGAGCTGGGACCACAGTCTCAAAGAAAACCATTAGTAACACACTACGCCATCATGGATTAAAATCCTGCAGCGCACGCAAGGTCCCCCTGCTCAAGCCAGCGCATGTCCAGGCCCGTCTGAAGTTTTCCAATGACCATCTGGATGATCCAGAGGAGGAATGGGAGGTCATGTGGTCTGATGAGACAAAAATAGAGCTTTTCGGTCTAAACTCCACTCGCCGTGTTTGGAGGAAGAAGAAGGATGAGTACAACCCCAAGAACACCATCCCAACTGTGAAGCATGGAGGTGGAAACATCATTCTTTGGGGATGCTTTTCTGCAAAGGGGACAGGACGACTGCACCATATTGAGGGGAGGATGGATGGGGCCATGTATCGCGAGATCTTGGCCAACAACCTCCTTCCCTCAGTAAGAGCATTGAAGATGGGTCGTGGCTGGGTCTTCCAGCATGACAACAACCCGAAACACACAGCCAGGGCAACTAAGGAGTGGCTCCGTAAGAAGCATCTCAAGGTCCTGGAGTGGCCTAGCCAGTCTCCAGACCTGAACCCAATAGAAAATCTTTGGAGGGAGCTGAAAGTCCGTATTGCCCAGCGACAGCCCCGAAACCTGAAGGATCTGGAGATGGTCTGTATGGAGGAGTGGGCCAAAATCCCTGCTGCAGTGTGTGCAAACCTGGTCAAGACCTACAGGAAACGTATGATCTCTGTAATTGCAAACAAAGGTTTCTGTACCAAATATTAAGTTCTGCTTTTCTGATGTATCAAATACTTATGTCATGCAATATAATGCAAATTAATTACTTAAAAATCATACAATGTGATTTTCTGTATTTTTATATATATATATATACACACACACACATACAGTGGGGAGAACAAGTATTTGATACACTGCCGATTTTGCAGGTTTCCTACTTACAAAGCATGTAGAGGTCTGTAATTTCTAATGTAACACCTAACACTAACAACTCTCTAATCTGTTGTAGCATTCTACTGGATGAAGAGGGCCATATCAAACTCACAGGTAGGACACACACTACCATATACACTGAATATACCAAACATTAAGAACACCTTCCTAATATTGAGTTGCACCCCCCCCCCCCCCTTTTGCCCTCAGAACAGCCTCAACTACCATACCACTTAAATCTTTTGTCTTGCCCCTTCACCCTCTGGAAGGCACACACACACAATCCATGTCTCAGTTGGCTTAAAAGTTATTATTTAACCTGTCTCCTCCCCTTCATCTACACTGATTGAAGTAGATTTAACAAGTGACATCAGTAAGGGATCAATCAATCACATCTATTTATAAAGCCCTTTTTTACATAAGCAGATGTCACAGTGCTTATACAGAAACCAGCCTAAAACCCCAAACAGCAAGCAATGTAGAAGCACGGTGGATAGGAAAAACTCCCTAGAAAGGCGGGAACATATGAAGAAACCTAGAGAGGAATCAGGCTCTGAGGGGTGGCCAGTCCTCTTCTGGCTGTGCCAGGTGGAGATTATATGAGTACCGGTACAGGGCCATTAAGGCCAGATTGTTCTTCAAGATGTTCAAACGTTCATAGATGATCAGCAGGGTAAAATAATAATCACAGTGGTTATAGAGGGTGTAACAGGTCAGCACCTCAGGAATAAATGTCAGTTGGCTTTTCATAGCCGAGCATTCCGAGGTCGAGTGAGACTTGGCCAGTCTATGTCATGGAAAGAGCAGGTGTCCTTAATGTTTTGTACACTCAGTGTATAGAGAATTAGGCCAGGTTCTAGAACAGTCACCCTGTTAGCCCCCATATAGAACTTTATTCTTGAAGTGTTGGTGATGTAACAATAGGACAGAACCTCCGCTAGTTCCCTCTGAAATGACCCCTGTAAACAAGCAAAACAGAGCAGCCAATTTAAGACATTTGTATTGGTTAGCATTCAGGATAATAATAATATAATATAATAATAATATAATAATAATAGTAATAATAATATGCCATTTAGCAGACGCTTTTATCCAAAGCGACATACAGTCATGCGTGCATACATTTTCTTGTGTATGGGTGGTCCCGGGGTTCGAACCCACTACCTTGGCGTTACAAGCGCCGTGCTCTACCAGCTGAGCTACAGAGGACCATAATGTGCATCCATGTCTTTACTGTGTTGTAGTGTCAACAAATTGCATATCTGCTTTCACTGGACATCTTCATAGTTTTCAAAACCTATCAGAAATACACAGCACGACACGGAAGCGTTCATTATCACTTAGGTAATTATCACATAGTTCATTATCACTTAGTTAATTGTCACTTAGTTCATTATCACTTAGCAACGGCTATGGAGGAGAAAGTGGCGCTCTCGGATCATTCAACTGCATTGGCCCAACTCTCTATATATATGGCACTACCCCCCCACACACACACTAACCCACTCCCCTCCCCCCGCACATACGTCACTCTGCCTGTTCTCTCTTTCCACTTGGCCTACCCCATTAGTCAGTGAGTCAGCACCACTCTTATCTGTTCCTGTGTAGATAACTGCTCTATGCATGGACCTGTAGATCAGTGGTTCCTAACCAGGGATACTAGGACCCCTGGGGGTACTTGGCCTATCCACAGTGGATACTAGGATCCTGGGGGTACTTGGCCTATCCACAGTGGATACTAGGATCCTGGGGGTACTTGGCCTATCCACAATGGATACTAGGATCCTGGGGGTACTTGGCCTATCCACAATGGATACTAGGATCCTGGGGGTACTTGGCCTATCCACAATGGATACTAGGATCCTGGGGGTACTTGGCCTATCCACAATGGATACTAGGACCCTGGGGGTACGTGGCCTATCCACAATGGATACTAGGATCCTGGGGGTACTTGGCCTATCCACAATGGATACTAGGATCCTGGGGGTACTTGGCCTATCCACAATGGATATTAGGATCCTGGGGGTACTTGGCCTACTGGTAAAATACACGAGGGGTTCGTCAAGGGTACTCTGGGCAGACAAAATTCTCTAGGGCTGAAATGGCATCCTCCTCCCTAAAATATAGTGCACTCCTTTTGAACAGGGCCCTCTATAATTACCCTCCATAGGGAATAGGGTGCCATTGCGTACACACCCTGGACCCTAGTTGTAGGCTATAGACTAGTTATTATAGTCAACCTCCTGGCCACGTCTGTAAAGCATAGTGTAAATCATGTCTATTCTTCCTCTCTGTCTGTGCCCGTCTGTCTACTGTGTGTGTTTATGGTAGTACAGGTAATTGTATAGTAACTGACTTGTGGTGTCTTCTCCCCAGATTTTGGCTTGTGTAAAGAGGCTGTTGACCACGAGAAGAAGGCCTACTCCTTCTGTGGAACGGTGGAGTACATGGCACCAGAGGTGGTGAACAGGCAGGGCCACGTACAGAGCGCCGACTGGTGGTCGTTTGGGGTACTGATGGTGAGTCATTTCATCTGTCATTTGGGTCACATTCATTAGTGCACAACTTGGTAAAACGCTTTGCAACTGAAAAATGAAAATAAACGTTAGTTATTGGACACATTTAGGTCATTTCTCCCTGTTTTAGTCTGTTTTCTTCCGTTTGGTGCATAATGAACACGACCCTCACAATACAAACAATCAAACAGACATAAATATGATGTGTGTTTGCGTCAGAGCCGTAGAATTGCATATGATAGGCATGAGTGTTTTTTTTTTAAAGGTGGTGGTTGTATTTGTTTGACAGTTTGAGATGCTGACCGGATCGCTGCCGTTCCAAGGGAAGGACCGCAAAGAGACCATGAACCTCATCCTGAAGTAAGGAGACGCTCTCACAATACACTGTAGGTCACTTCTTTTGGCCAGTGATATATATACACAGTGCATTCAGAAAGTATTCAGAACACTTGACTCCACATTTTGTTACGTTACAGCCTTATTCTAAAATGGATTAAATTGTTTTTTTCCCCCTCATCAATCTACCCATAATACCCCATAATGACAATGCTAAAAAAAGTTTATATAAATTGTTTAAAAATTCAAAACTGAAATATGACATTTACATAAGTATTCAGACCCTTTACTCAGTACTTTGCTGAAGCGCCTTTGGCAGCGATTATAGCCTCGAGCCTTCTTGGGTATGACGCTACAAGCTTGGCACACCTATATTTGGGGAGTTTCTCCCGTTCTTCTCTGCAGATCCTCTCAAGCTCTGTCAGGTTGGATGGAGAGTGTCGCTGCACAGCTATTTTCAGGTCTCTCCGAAGATGTACGATCAGGTTCAAGTCCGGGCTCTGGCTGGGCCACTCAAGGTCATTCAGAGACTTGTCCCGAAGCCACTCATGCGTTGTCTTAGCTATGTGCTTAGGGTCATTGTCCTGTTGGAAGGTGAACCTTCGCCCCAGTCTGAGGTCCTGAGCGCTCTGGAGCAGGTTTTCATCAAGGATCTCTCTGTACTTTGCTCCGTTCATCTTTCCCTTGATCCTGACTAGTCTCCCAGTCCATGCCACTGAAAAACATTCCCACAGTATGATGCTGCCACCACCATGCTTCACCGTAGGGATGGTGCCAGGTTTCCTCCAGGTGGGATGCCAAATATTTCAATATTGGTTTCATCAGACTAGAGAATGTTGTTTCTTATGGTCTGAGAGTCTTTTGGGTGCCTTTTGGCAAACTCCAAGCGGGCTGTCATGTGCCTTTTACTGAGGAGTGGCTTCCGTCTGGCCACTCTACCATAAAGGCTTGATTGGTGTAGTGCTGGAGAGATGGTTGTCCTTCTGGAAGGTTCTCCCGTCTCCACAAAGGAACTCTGGAGCTCTGTCAGAGTGACCATCGGGTTCTTGGTCACCTCCCCGATCAAGGCCCTTCTCCCCCGATTGATCAGTTTGGCCAGGCGGCCAGCTCTAGGAAGAGTCTTGGTTGTTCCAAACTTCTTCCATTTAAGAATGATGGAGGCCACTGTTCTTGGGGGCCTTCAATGCTGCAGAAATTTTTTGGTACCCTTCCCCAGATTTGTGCCTCGACACAATCCTGTCTCGGAGCTCTACAGACAATTCCTTCAACATCATGGGTTGGTTTTTGCTCTGACACACACTGTCAACTGTGGGACCTTATATAGACCGGTGTGTGCTTTTCAAAATCATGTCCAATCAATTGAATTTACCACAGGTGGACTCCAATCAAGTTGTAGAAACATCTCAAGGATGATCACTGGAAACAAGATGCACCTGAGCTCAATTTCAAGTCTCATAGCAAAGGGTCTGAATACTTATGTAATTAAGGTATTTCTGTTTTTTATTTTTAATACATTTGCAAACATTTCTTAAAGTCTGTTTTCACTTTGTCATTATGGGGTATTGTGTGTAGATTGACGAGGAACATTTTCTATTTAATCCATTTTAGAATAAGGCTGTAACGTAACAAAATATGGAAAAGGTTGAGGGGTCTGAATACTTTCCGAATGCACTGTAATTCACCACACTGGGCCCACAATCACAGGCTAGAGTGTCTGTAGCAGTACTATTTATTTTGCCTGGCTAAACCAGCCTGAATGCTGCGTTCCGGGAAACCATGGTGAACGTTCAGCAGCGTTCAATCTTGATTTAACCAGGCTACTATTTATTAGCCTTCTGGATTTAACAATGTCTCCCCCTGCAGGGCAAGATTGGGAATGCCCCAGTTCCTGAGTTCAGAGGCTCAAAGTCTCCTACGATCTCTGTTCAAGAGGAACCCCACCAACAGACTGGGTGAGTCGTCCATAACTACATGTACTTACCCACTAGCCAATGACTAGCTAATTACAGTGGTTACTCCACTAGGAGAGTCATTACTGTGGTATAATAAGGCCTGTTTGATATTAAAGGGGCAATCTGCAGTTGCTACATCCATTTTTTGGACTTAATGATATGTAACTATTGATTCTTGAAGAATATAGCTTATAAATGCCTCATGAGCTTAGTTCAACTGTCGTCCCCCATCAAAACCCAAAATAGAAGCTTCTTGTACTCCAATGTTTGTAAACAAAGTCAATGAAAAACCAACACTATATAGCCTCATAACATGGTTAAAACTATCATGTTTGATGTCATGGATGGTCAGTCCTTGCGTCCATAGATCTGTTTATGAATTTGAGAGTGGGCGGGAAGTACGCTTTGATTCAACTGCTGATTGCCGCTTTAAGCATAGAGCTTGTGCTGATGTTGTATGCAGTCATCCATACTAACAGTGTGATTGTGTGGACAGGCTCGGGGGCGGATGGTGCAGAGGAGATCAAACGCCACACTTTCTTCTCCACCATCGACTGGAATGTGAGTGGGACCTCACCTCTGGCACTCATCACACACTCCTAGTGTAGTCCTATCAGGACTCATTATCAATCTCATCATCCAATTAGCATTTTTAAATGAATATTGCCATATGCTTCGGCAATTCTCAAGGCTCCATTCTTTTAAGCCTTTCAGAAACTCTTTTAACCCTTTCAGAAACTATTTTAACCCTTTCAGAAACTGTTCCGGCGAGAGATCCCGCCCCCGTTCAAGCCGGCGGTGGCCCGGCCAGACGACACCTTCTACTTCGACTCAGAGTTCACCTCCCGCACACCCAAAGGTAAGAGGTCAAAGTTGACAAGAGTAACTTGTCCTAGCGTGACAAGACAGACCAGGTCTGACTGAATCTAACCAAACGTAGCAGGTGTAAAAAGCTGACTGAATCTAACCTAACATAGCAGGTGTAAAAAGCTGACTGAATCTAACCTTACGTAGCAGGTGTAAAAAGCTGACTGAATCTAACCTAACATAGCAGGTGTAAAAAGCTGACTGAATCTAACCTAACGTAGCAGGTGTAAAAAGCTGACTGAATCTAACCTTACGTAGCAGGTGTAAAAAGCTGACTGAATCTAACCTTACGTAGCAGGTGTAAAAAGCTGACTGAATCTAACCTAACGTAGCAGGTGTCAAAAGCTGACTGAATCTAACCTAACGTAGCAGGTGTCAAAAGCTGACTGAATCTAACCAAACGTAGCAGGTGTAAAAAGCTGACTGAATCTAACCAAACGTAGCAGGTGTAAAAAGCTGACTGAATCTAACCTTACGTAGCAGGTGTAAAAAGCTGACTGAATCTAACCTTACGTAGCAGGTGTAAAAAGCTGACTGAATCTAACCTTACGTAGCAGGTGTAAAAAGCTGACTGAATCTAACCTTACGTAACAGGTGTAAAAAGCTGACTGAATCTAACCTTACGTAGCAGGTGTAAAAAGCTGACTGAATCTAACCTTACGTAGCAGGTGTAAAAAGCTGACTGAATCTAACCTAACGTAGCAGGTGTAAAAAGCTGACTGAATCTAACCTAACATAGCAGGTGTAAAAAAGACACCTGAGCGGAGTCCCCACTTCCGTTTTTCACGGGAAAATACTGTATCCCTGAAAACCAGAAACATCTGCTTTTTACCAACTCCACTAAGGGTGGACTGAATTAGACCACACTTTATTCTATCAATGGTAATGAAAGCAGTAACAATCATAAAACAGTTGGTACTTGTAAGCTGCTTACATCTCCTTGGAGCACAGGGAGTGTTATTGGTTTTACTCTTTAAGTTAGTGTATTTAGGTGAATGAAACCTTTTATAATGCCATTTTGAAGTTTGTCAGCTAGTAACAGTTAGTCAAACTATTACATTTTTGACAAAAACAAATACTCTTTTGCTCTCCTGTCTGTTTTTGAGTCTGTTTCAAGCGTGTGTATGATGTTGTATTCTTACTCTGACCACCACAGACTCCCCAGGCGTTCCACCCAGTGCCGGAGCCCACCAGCTCTTCCGGGGCTTCAGCTTCGTCGCCCCGGCCATGTTGGATGAGGAGGGGGCCAAGGAGCTGGCCAAGCCCACACCACACCCAGTGGTCCAGGTCAGCAATCCATCACAGAGGGGAAATTCCCACTATTAATATATAAATATATAATTATAATATATGCCATTTAGCAGGTGCGTTCTTCTAAAGTGACTTGCAGTCATGCGTGCATTCAAACACTAACCATCTCATTTTCATCTCTTACATTAATTTCTATCAAAAACTATATCATATAGACAGTAAAAAGACAGAGAGCTGTCTGACAGCCAGATGGTTCCCTCCCCAAGATTTGTCTTTTGAAGGAGAACATGCTCTTTCACTCTCTGACCACTAGATGGCCATATTTATCCGTCCTGCAGCACTGTGTGTCAATCAGTATAATGTAATGACCGTGTAAGCCATACTTACTTAGGGCAGATAAGGCTGTGGGTTTAGTGCTTGGTGGTTTTACACTGTGCATGTTGAGGAGTAAGCCTCTAATCCAGTTGAATGGCTTGGTCTAATACCATCAGTAGGGATGGATGCTGTGGTTGATTTGCCTCAACTGTGATGGGGAGTGTGGTTGTGTCTGGGTGAGCTGGATCTGTGATCATGGAAAGGGGTGTGTATGTAGATGATTGTGTGGATAAATAAATCATAATAAATCATAATAGTATAATATTCAATACATTGATTGTTGTGTTTGTGAAGCGCTGTTGTAGACTGCAGTTCAAGCACTAAACTATAGACTGGCGTGTGTGTATGTGGTGTCTCCATACAGCAACTCCATGGGAAGAACGTGTTGTTCAGCGATGGCTACATGTTAAAGGAGGACATTGGCATGGGCTCTTTCTCTGTCTGCAAGCGCTGCGTCCACAAAGCCACCAACACAGAGTACGCCGCCAAGGTCAGAACACCCACTGTAACCTCCCTCTCTGGGTGTATCACTCTCCCCAGTCCACCAAGTTCTTATTCATCCACATTGTGGGGTGCTGAATCCATTCTAATACAGTAGTTGGACATGACTCTCTAAAAGATACATTTGAACAAATCATTTTGATTGATTAAGTCAGATCTTTCTTTTGGAGAGTGATTTCTCATCTCTTGTCTGTCTCACACCATCTCCACATGGTCTCCTAATGGAGGATTATAATAGCGTCTTTCGGATTATTGTGTGCTGTCAGGTGATTGACAAGACCATGACAGACCCTTCAGAGGAGATCGAGATCCTGCTGAGATACGGCCAGCACCCTAACATCATCACCCTGAAGGACGTGAGTACACACACACCGACACACGCTCACACACACACTCACACTCTCACACACACACACACACACACACACACAAACACTGAATCATCCATCATGTGTTCTGTCCATCTGTCAGGTGTATGACAATGGGAAGCAGGTTTATCTGGTGACAGAGCTGATGCGAGGCGGGGAGCTGCTGGACCGGATCCTCAAACAGAAGATCTTCTCAGAGCGAGAAGCCAGCGCCGTGCTCCACACCATCACCAAAACTGTAGAATACCTCCACGTACAGGGGGTGAGACACTCATCTACACACACACACACTGTAACAGACTGGTCGCTATGGACTTAATGGACTATGTCTAAACAAGTGTGTTGATATTCCTTCATATTCTTAGTATGGTTTTCTTTCTTGTTCTAATATGCTTACTTTAAAATATATTTTACAAATATATATACGACCAACAGATTATCTCCAAACAGTTGAAGTAGATTGTTTTTGCGTTCACATTTGACCTTTACTAATTCATAAATTGTCTTTCACCCTCCTCTCCACTCCTCTACTCCGCTCCTTCCCCTCTCCTCCTCTCCTTCTCCGCCTCCCATCTATTCCTCTCCTCTCTCTTCCTCCCCTACCCCCTCCTCTCTCCTCTCTCTTCCTCCCCTACCCCCTCCTCTCTCCTCTCTCTTCTTCCCCTACCCCCTCCTCTCTCCTCTCTATTCCTCCCCTACCCCCTCCTCTCTATTCCTCCCCTACCCCCTCCTCTCTCCTCCTCCTCTCCCCTCCTCTCTCCTCCTCTCTTACTCCCTTAACACCTCCTCTCTCCTCCTCTCTTCCTCCCCTAACCCCTCCTCTCTCCTCCTCTATTCCTCCCTTACCACCTCCTCTATTCCTCCCCTACCCCCTCCGCTCTGTTCCTCCCCTACCCCTCCTCTCCCCTCCTCTCCTCCTCTCCAGGTTGTCCACAGGGACCTAAAGCCCAGTAACATCCTTTATGTAGATGAGTCGGGGAACCCGGAGTCTATCCGGATCTGTGACTTTGGTTTTGCCAAGCAGCTGAGAGCTGACAACGGCCTGCTGATGACCCCATGCTACACTGCTAACTTTGTAGCCCCGGAGGTAAGGCCCAGGAGAGAGTGTTTGTGATGATGATGATTCATACGTACATAGCGTTTATCGATGCCCCCTATCGGACGCTATATCCCGGTTTTTAAGGGAAAATAGTCATATACATACAGTTGAAGTCGGAAGTTTACATACATACATACAGTGGGGAGAACAAGTTTTTGATACACTGCCGATTTTGCAGGTTTTCCTACTTACAAAGCATGTAGAGGTCTGTAATTTTTATCATAGGTACACTTCAACTGTGAGAGACGGAATCTAAAACAAAAATCCAGAAAATCACATTGTATGATTTTTAAGTAATTAATTTGCATTTTATTGCATGACATAAGTATTTGATCACCTACCAACCAGTAAGAATTCCGGCTCTCACAGACCTGTTAGCCATCCTGTTCTCCACTCATTACCTGTATTAACTGCACCTGTTTGAACTCGTTACCTGTATAAAAGACACCTGTCCACACACTCAATCAAACAGACTCCAACCTCTTCAAGTTCAAGATGACGGTCAATCACCCTCGGTCTGGGGCTCCATGCAAGATCTCACCTCGTGGGGCATCAATGATCATGAGGAAGGTGAGGGATCAGCCCAGAACTACACGGCTGGACCTGGTCAATGACCTGAAGAGAGCTGGGACCACAGTCTCAAAGAAAACCATTAGTAACACACTACGCCGTCATGGATTAAAATCCTGCAGCGCACGCAAGGTCCCCCTGCTCAAGCCAGCGCATGTCCAGGCCCGTCTGAAGTTTGCCAATGACCATCTGGATGATCCAGAGGAGGAATGGAAGAAGGTCATGCAGTCTGATGAGACAAAAATAGAGCTTTTCGGTCTAAACTCCACTCGCCGTGTTTGGAGGAAGAAGAAGGATGAGTACAACCCCCAAGAACACCATCCCAACCGTAAAGCATGGAGGTGGAAACATTATTCTTTGGGGATGCAAAAGGGACAGGACGACTGCACCGTATTGAGGGGAGGATGGATGGGGCCATGTATCGCGAGATCTTGGCCAACAACCTCCTTCCCTCAGTAAGAGCATTGAAGATGGGTCGTGGCTGGGTCTTCCAGCATGACAACGACCCGAAACACACAGCCAGGGCAACTAAGGAGTGGCTCCGTAAGAAGCATCTCAAGGTCCTGGAGTGGCCTAGCCAGTCTCCAGACCTGAACCCAATAGAAAATCTTTGGAGGGAGCTGAAAGTCCGTATTGCCCAGCGACAGCCCCGAAACCTGAAGGATCTGGAGAAGGTCTGGATGGAGGAGTGGGCCAAAATCCCTGCTGCAGTGTGTGCAAACCTGGTCAAGACCTACAAGAAACGTATGATCTTGTAATTGCAAACAAAGGTTTCTGTACCAAATATTAAGTTCTGCTTTTCTGATGTATCAAATGCTTATGTCATGCAATAAAATGCACATTAATTACTTAAAAATCATACAATGTGATTTTCAGGATTTTTGTTTTAGATTCCGTCTCTCACAGTTGAAGTGTACCTATGATAAAAAATTACAGACCTCTACATGCTTTGTAAGTAGGAAAACCTGAAAAATCGGCAGTGTATCAAATACTTGTTCTCCCCACTGTATATGTGTGTGTGTGTGTGTATATATATATATATATATGTATATGTGTGTGTGTGTGTGTGTGTGTGTGTGTGTGTGTGTATATGTATGTGTATATATGCACACATGACTAAGTCGCTTTGGATAAAAACGTTTGCTAAATGGCATATTATATTATATTATATTATTGGACATCCTCCTCCTCTTCCCCGTTCCACCGCATACAACTAAAGTGAAACCACTTGTTTTCACACTGGACCGAAGACGGTGTGTCCTCGTTGGTGGGAGGGAACTCCCTCTTGCGTTGGCCACACAAGGAACTGTGGAAATTTACTTTTTATTTTGTGGCCTGTTGCGAGAGAGCGCATATGGATTTAATAAACTGTGATAGCTAGATAATGGTGAAGTCTTTACATCAGTTGTAAATCAGATTCAATGGTTAGAAAATTATACGCTTTTTACCGGTTGGCGTAGGAGGCAGAACTCGTGTCTTGCATCCAGCTGGGGTGATTGAGGAGGAGGCGGCGGCAGTGGTCCCATCTGAGGAGAAAGTAAAATGTTAGCTAGACTTGCCATGTTTGATCTTGACTGAGGCTCTATCCGCAAAGGCCTGACTATAACAGCCTTTTGTCCTTCACTTCCACCAGTGCGGCAACCATGGCCTCTTGGCAGTAAAGTTTCCTTATCTTCTTGGGGGGGTTTCTCAATGTGCTAATGTTTGGCATGATGTCCTGGAAAATAAGACAATATGATGGTTATGATGTGATTTTATATGTGTCTGTATAATTTAATTAACTACACCTTTAATTCAAGACCATCTAGCTAGCTGGCTAATAATATAATATGGCTAGTGTGATGTAATGGGGTTGAAGGAAAACTGATGTTTATGGTTAGGTTCTAGTTATGTGGGCAGAGTCTTGTCATGACGGTCAATCAGCCTCGGTCATTGCCTTGTCATCAAATATATACAGTGCATTCAGAAAGTATTCAGACCCCTTGACTTTTTCCACATTTTGTTATGTTATAGCCTTATTCTAAAATTGATTAAATTGTTTGTTTTCCTCATCAATCTACACACAATACCCCATAATGACAAAGCAAAAACACATATTTTTTTACTCACATTTACATAAGTATTCAGACCCTTTACTCAGTTCTTTGTTGAAGCACCTTTGGCAACGATTACAGCCTCGAGTCTTCTTGAGTATGACTACAAGCTTGGCACACCTGTATCTGTCAGGTTGGATGGTGAGCGTCGCTGCACAGCTATTTTCAGGTCTCTCCAGAGATGTTCGATCAAGTTCAAGTCTGGGCTCTGGCTAGGCCACTTAAGGACATTCAGAGACTTGTCCCGAAGCCACTTCTGCGTTGTCTTGGCTGTGTGCTTAGGGTCATTGTCCTGTTGGAAGGTGAACCCCAGTCTGAGGTCTGGAGCAGGTTTTCATCAAGGATCTCTCTGTACTTTGCTCCGTTCATCTTTCCCTCGATCCTGACTAGTCTCCCAGTCCCTGCCGCTGAAAAACATCCCCCGCAGCATGATGCTGCCACCACCATGCTTCACTGTAGGGATGGTGCCAAGTTTCCTCCAGACGTGATGCTTGGCATTCAGGCCAAAGAGTTACATCTTGGTTTCATTAGATCAGAGAACCTTGTTTCTCATGGTCTGAGAGTCCTTTAGATGTTATTTTGGGAAACTCCAAGCGGGCTGTCATGTGCCTTTTTACTGAGGAGTGGCTTCCGTCTGGCCACTCTACCATAAAGGCCTGATTGGTGGAGTGCTGAAGAGATGGTTGTCCTTCTGGAAGGTTCTCCCATCTCCACAGAGGAGCTCTGGGGCTTTGTCAGAGGGTTCTTGGTCACCTCCCTGACCAAGGCCCTTCTCCCCTGATTGTGCAGTTTGGCCGGGCGGCCAGGTCTAGGAAGAGTCTTGGTGGTTCCAAACTTCTTCAATTTAAGAATAATGGAGGCCACTGTGTTCTTGGGGGCCTTCAATGGTGCAAATCTGCGGACTATTCCTTCGACCTCATGGCTTGGTTTTTGCTCTGACATTCCCTGTCAACTGTGGGACCTTATATAGACAGTTGTGTGCCTTTCCAAATCATGTCCAATCAATAGAATTTTCCACAGGTGGACTCCAATCAAGTTGTAGAAACATCTCAAGGATGATCAATGGAAACAGGATGCACCTGAGCTACATTTTGAGTCTCATAGCAAAGGGTCTGAATACTTAAAGCCTGTTTTCGCTTTGTCATTATTGTGTGTAGTGTATAATGTTTTATTTAATCAATTTCAGAATCCAATGTAGAAAAAGGGAAGGGGTCTGAATACTTTCCGATTGCACTGTATGGTCTAGCAATCAATTGGTGGTCTAATCCCACGAAGGGGGCGAGCAAATTCTTTATAGTTTGTTTACAAACGCGTTTCTCTGAGCATTCCCCATAGCAAACAACGTCATTGAGAAACATGGCAATGTTTGACCCTCAACCCGGTCCATGGCACTGTGATGACACAATAAATCCCTCCCCTCACTCTTTCTTCACAAGATGGCGATTTCAGAAATGTATTGAATGCCCCTCCAAGCCATCAGAGACCTGAAAGACAGTTAATTGTTTCAAGAGAAAGTTTCACCTGAGGTCGATTTCACGGGACCTACCGTTTTTGATGTTGCGGTGTTCTAATTTCGCGGGAAATAGGAGAAAGCCGCATCACCAAGGGGGTGTGTCCGTCCATGAGCTCTGTCCGATAGGGGGGCATCGATGGGCTAGCATCCTTGTCAAAGTCGAAGCACTATTTCCTTTGGGTGTATAGCTCTACCCAGGTGATGCATGGTGGACGGTGTTGTGACATAATGCTGTGTGTGTTCTAGGTGTTAAAGCGTCAGGGCTATGACGAGGGCTGTGACATATGGAGTCTGGGTGTGTTGTTGTATACCATGCTGGCTGGGTAAGGAACACACACACACTACATGCTAATCATACAGCTGTGCACTGTATTCCAACAAAATGTAATGTTCTCACTCACTTACCCATTCATTCTCATTTGACTTGTCCTCTGTGCTCCCTCTCTCCCTCCCTCCCCCTCTCCCTCAGCTTCACGCCGTTTGCCAACGGGCCCGAGGACACTCCAGATGAGATCCTGAGCAGGATAGGCAGCGGTCACTTCACCCTGACAGGAGGCAACTGGGACGCCGTGTCGGACGCAGCCAAGGTACCGTAGGACTGACTTGCTGAGTGACTTCACTTTTCACATGATCGTGCCGACCTGAACCGTACTGTGCTGGCTTGTATATTTTATTTTCACACTATTGTGAAATGAAACAATGGCTAAATGTATTTCGGTTTGGATTTCAAGGATAGAGGGACAGTATATAATATAAAACTCATCTAACCATTGATTTCTTCCTCCCTGCTGTGTCTCTATAGGACCTGGTGTCTAAGATGCTTCATGTGGACCCCCACCAGCGGCTGACTGCCATGCAGGTCCTCAAGCACCCCTGGATCGTCCAGAGGGACAAGCTGTCCAACAGCCAGCTGCAGCACCAGGACGCCAAGCTGGTCAAGGTACTGGACTCATACAATACTTTACACCAGTGGTCACCAAACGGGTCGATCGCGATTGACTGGTCGATCGTCAGTTGTCTTGAAAACACCATGACCATCAGATGCAGGTACCATCAGTCCAGTAAATAAAATAAAATATTTCAATTTATGCTCAGCTGTGCTTTCCATGGCCGAGCAGCCGCACACAAGCCTAAGATCACCATGCGCAATGCCAAGCGTTGGCTGGAGTGGTGTAAAGCTCGCTGCCATTGGACCCTGGAGCAGTGGAAACGCGTTCTCTGGCGTGATGAATCACGCTTCACCATCTGGCAGTCCGACGGACGAATCTGGGTTTGGCGGATGCCAGGAGAACGCTACCTGCCCGAATGCATGGTGCCAACTGTAAAGTTTGGTGGAGGAGGAATAATGGTCTGGGGCTGTTTTTCATGGTTCGGGCTAGGCCCCTTAGTTCCAATGAAGGGAAATCTTAACGCTACAGCATACAATGACATTCTAGATTATTCTGTAATTCCAACTTTTGGAAACAGTTTGGGAAGGCCCTTTCCTGTTTCAGCATGACAATGTCCCCATGCACAAAGCGAGGTCCATACAGAAAGGGTTTGTCGATTGGTGTGGAAGAACTTGACTGGCCTGCACAGAGCCCTGATCTCCACCCAATCGAACACCTTTCGGATTAATTGGAACGCCGACTGCAAGCCAGGCCTAATCGGCCAACATCAGTGCCCGACCTCACTAATGCTCATGTGGCTGAATGGAAGCAAGTCCCCGCAACAATGTTCCAACATCTAGTGGAAAGCCTTCCCAGAAGAGTGGAGGCTGTTATAGCAGCAAAGGGGGGACCAACACCATATTAATGGCCATGATTTTGCAATGAGATGTTTGACGAGCATGTGTCCACATACTTTTGGCCATGTAGCGTATTTCTAGTCAGTGCAGTGCGACTTGACTTTTTAATACCTGCTACTGTGTCTCTGTCCTCCAAACTGGTGTCTTAACGTTGCACTACCTCTTCTCTTCCCACAGGGGGCGATGGCGGCAACCTACTCTGCCTTGAAGAGCTCCCAGCCCACCCCGGAGCTCAAGCCCATCGAGTCGTCCTTCCTGGCCCAGCGACGTGTGAAGAAGCTCCCCTCCACCTCTCTTTAGGTCCACCAGAGAGAGACCATGGAGACTCTAGCTAGAACACCCCCAGTCAGTCAGTACAGGAACAAGTCACGGGACTGAAGAGACAAGTAGATCACCTCTATCTAACCAGCCAAGGACCACTGACTGTACTCTGCTGTAGTCCCCTCCCCTGCCAGTGATATCAGTACTCTGCTGCGGTCTCCTCCCCTGCCAGTGATATCAGTACTCTGCTGCGGTCTCCTCCCCTGCCAGTGATATCAGTACTCTGCTGTAGTCTCCTCCCCTGCCAGTGATATCAGTACTCTGCTGTAGTCTCCTCCCCTGCCAGTGATATCAGTACTCTGCTGTAGTCCCCTCCCCTGCCAGTGATATCAGTACTCTGCTGCGGTCTCCTCCCCTGGCAGTGATATCAGTACTCTGCTGTAGTCTCCTCCCCTGCCAGTGAGATTTCAGCACTCTGCTGCGGTCTCCTCCCCTGCCAGTGATATCAGTACTCTGCTGTAGTCTCCTCCCCTGGCAGTGATATCAGTACTCTGCTGCGGTCTCCTCCCCTGCCAGTGAGATTTCAGCACTCTGCTGCGGTCTCCTCCCCTGCCAGTGATATCAGTACTCTGCTGTAGTCTCCTCCCCTGGCAGTGATATCAGTACTCTGCTGTAGTCCCCTCCCCTGCCAGTGAGATTTCAGCACTCTGCTGCGGTCTCCTCCCCTGCCAGTGATATCAGTACTCTGCTGTAGTCTCCTCCCCTGCCAGTGATATCAGTACTCTGCTGCGGTCTCCTCCCCTGCCAGTGATATCAGTACTCTGCTGTAGTCTCCTCCCCTGCCAGTGATATCAGTAGTCTCTATTTCCTCCTGGATGGGCGTGGGGGCATGATCACTTGATGTCAATCACTCTGGACTAGCAACAGGACATGGTTGGGGATGAGGGGCAGTGGGGTAGGCGCAGGTTATGGCAAATGTGTTGGCAGTATATTTTGGATAAGAGGTGTGTGTGCGTGAGTCTTGAGTTTGCGAGACAACCTGCTACCACAGAGGATGTTGATGACCATTGATGATGTTTCGGTTGTGTTTTTGTTCTGCTGTCATTTTGATTGGCTCTCCATCTCCCCTCAGCATCGCTGTGATTGGCTGTCGCTAAGCTCTCTGCACGTCTGTCTGTTTGGTGTATCGTTCTGTCTCCAGTTGATCAGCTTGCCAAATCGATTTGTTTATTGTTTTTGCTGTTTTTCCATTTAAAATGGAAGGGACAATGGCACAAAAAGAGATCACAGTCCATCACTATCATTCTCCTACATTTTGAATGACCATTAAAAGAAAAAAAAAACATTTTGCCATAAATGCCTTTCATTTTTTAGACTATACTGGAACTAGGAATTCTGGGTAATGTAGTCAATTCTAATGTTGTTTTTTACCAGGCCGAGTGTCTCACTCTCCATTGCATGACTTGCAGTGCGTCTAGTCGTAGGGAAGGGTGCAGAAAGTTGTTTGCGTGGTCTGGTGCAGTGTGGCGTCATGTTGCTTTGTCCTTCCCTTTTCTGCACTGACGATTCTGAGAAGAGGAGAAAAAAAAAAAGAGATTTGATATATGCCCAAATATTTTTGTCAAAAAGAATTTACAAAAAGAGAAAATAATATCTGTGATATCCTTAACAAGTTGAAATCTATGTTTTAAATTTGTTCAGTTTTTTTCCATTGTGTTTTCTTCTTGGATATGCATATTTTGAATGCTGTCTTTCTTGTATTTGCTTTTGTTGTTGAAAGGCATGTCGAGCACACACACACTGTTGGCGCGTCCATGATGGACTCTTTCCCACAGTCCTCCTCTCTCTTTGTTTCAATGTCAAGTATGGTGAGACTGATTGTCAAAATGATTGTACTGAGCACTCAAATGCACTCTCTCAAAGATATTCTCCGTTACTTTTGTATACTTTTTAGCCAGTAGTTCTGAAAGTAGCGCCTACGAGCCAAAGATGTTCCCCGAAAATGGCGTACTATGTCACAAATGTGCAGATATGTACACCACGTCATTGCTCTCTTTTGCTCTACTGTGTGTGCGTCTTGCTAGTCAAATGTTGAGGGGCTGAAGCTCATTGGCTGAAACTCAAATTGCTAGGGGGCTGGCCAACGTGCAAGTAAATGTATGGAAAGTGGCGCCACACAGCTTCCAGAAAACTGTCCCGTTCAAACTAGGGATTTCGTGGCTAATTGAGGTAAGACAGTAATCTGCTCATAGATTATGCATGTATGAACTACACAACGGCACATCCAGCGCAAAGCGGGAGGTTTAAAAAAATACTTACTAGTCGCCAAAGTACCGGAGCATGTCTTTAAGGTCTCTGTAAAGGATTGGTTCTTCTTTTACTTAGACAATCCTTGACAGGAATATTGTTTGTGCTTTTCTGATTTGATTGGCCTGTCTGCTGGTCTTAATCAGGACATATAAAGTAAATGTCCATAGGTCCTTTCTGTATCCTGTTCAGTTTGACTCTATTTGACTATCTCTGAGTGGGAGTGGTGATCTAGGATCAGGTCCACCCTGTCCATGTAATCTGATTCTGTATGATCCAACGGACACAACTGATCCTGGATCAGCACTCCTATTCTGAGATACTTTGTGGATACGGGCCGTGGACTCTAGTACAGTATAGGTCACAACGTCTATCTTGACTAGAGGTTCTTATGAGATAGTACACATTTGCATGGCTAAGTTTTGGTAGCTTTTTAATTCCTTAAGGGCCGGATTCCTAGACACAGAATCTCCATTGAACATGCTTTTTAGTCTAGGAGTAGTCCGGGAAACTGGCCCCTGCGCCTACCGCATATAGATCCTGTAAGGTTATGTAGGCTTGAATCTTTACTCTTAGATATGTGATGCGTATCTGTAGAAAGGAAGGGATAACTGTTTCTATGGGATACGCATTATTAAGAAGAAACAGATCAACAGGAAGAAGGGAACGTTTGATTATAACAAGAAATAACAGCTACCACCCACTGGGACTCCTCGTAGTAACAGTTACTCGTCTGCCATAGTAGCACAGTGACATATATTACTACAGTTGCAAAGTATTAACACCCATTTCATCTCAGATCAATTGGAATACATAGTTATAATGTATTTAAAAAATCAAGATGTTTATAGCTACAAAGGTTGAGATTAAACAGTTAATTTACTATGATGATATTTGCATCATTTTCTCTGTTCTAAGTTGTTGTACCTTTTCCTTATAAGGCTCCAGAAACACTTCTCGCGGCAAAAACACGATTCACCGATGAATTGCAACCTAACTCGGACACGCCCCATGATTCTGCCATCTAGAACCAATGAAAAGACATCCTTACTGCCATCGTTTTTGTTGCCACGACCAATGTGTTCGGACCCTAAACTGGGAGCTTTATTTGGTATGGAACTATCCTATGTTTCTATGAGTTTGTGTTCCTCTTGCTTTGTATTCCCTTCCTTCCTGGTTTTCCATGGGGGGGAGTTGTTGGGTCGGGATGGGATGGGGTAGTTCACCCTCTTCTGCCATTGCAGCAGTGGGGATTCAGGCCAATAGGGAGTTCAAATGAGATGCCTTTCTATTAAAAACATTTTCTCTGCGCTGATCTAAGACTGCTCTGTGTCAGCTTTAACCTTCTTTTCTGTCATGTGTGCATGTGTGTGGACTTTAATAATATGACAAAAACAGTGGGGTCTGCACTGAGAATTCAGGCTGTCTTGGATAATATGAAAATTACAAATACTGTGGAAAAGGGTCTTTGCAGCATCCTTTCAAATGGGAATTGTACGTGTTCCTATATTCATGTGTCTGTATGTTTATACCATTTTCATAGACCAACCCCTTTAAGTGTAGTGTTCTAGACCCTGTGCTGTAGTGTTCTACACCCTGTGCTGTAGTGTTCTAGACCCTGTGCTGTAGTGTTCTACACCCTGTGCTGTAGTGTTCTAGACCCTGTGCTGTAGTGTTCTAGACCCTGTGCTGTAGTGTTCTACACCCTGTGCTGTAGTGTTCTAAACCCTGTGCTGTAGTGTTCTAGACCCTGTGCTGTAGTGTTCTAGACCCTGTGCTGTAGTGTTCTAGACCTTGTGCTGTAGTGATTGACGGGAGTGTTCCTTTAAAACACCTAGGGAACGGTGTAGGTGTGCTATGCAAGCAGAAGAACACTGCATCTCACTGCCTGTCTGCCACACACAGCAGAGTACACTTTCATGTTCTCCCCGCCTTCCCAAAGGTCCTCAAATGCACTCAGACCAGCTCTGTGATGGAACTCTGCTGCAGGCCCACACACACTCTCTCCCACTCCCTGGTGGCAGCTTTTAGCATAGTAACACTGTCCTCTCCTCTACTGCACGATGCCATTCTGTTATATAACACACGCATGTCCTGAACACACGCACCTGAAACAAATCACATTTTATTGGTCACATACACATATTTAGCAGATGTTTATCGCGGGTGTAGCGAAATACTTGTTCCTAGCGCCAACAGTGCAGTAGTATCTAACAATTCACTACAATACACACAAATCTAAAAGAATGGAATTAAGAAATATTAGGACGAGCAATGTCGGAGTGGCATTGACTAAAATACAGTAGAATAGAATACAGTATATACATACGAGACGAGTAAAGCAGTATGTAAACATTAAAGTGACTAGTGTTCCATTATTAAAATGGCCAGTGATTCCAAGTCTATGTATATAGGGCAGCAGACTGACACTCTCACACACCACGCTCTCACCTTAACAAGATATTTAATTGGATATCTCCACATAATTGACTGCTTTCTCTCTTTCACATGCTTCTGTACAATTACATACAAACACTTTAATATATATATATATATATCTATATATATATATATATACACACACACACACACACACACACACACACACACACACACACACACACACACACACACACACACAGTGGGGAGAACAAGTATTTGATACACTGCCGATTTTGCAGGTTTTCCTACTTACAAAGCATGTAGAGGTCTGTAATTTTTATCATAGGTAC